AATTGCAAGATCAAGAGTAAAAACACAAAGATTGCAAAGTAAATTAATTGTCATGTGAGTTTTTGTGGATATCAAATATATGAGTAAAGGGATGTTAAGAGGGTAAGTTGCTTTTTTAATCCATAAACACTATTTTTTTAAGATTTGGTATACTTATGAACAGGGAGTAAAAATAGGAAGCACATGCTGAAAATCTGTTTCGTTTTTGTCATTGTTTTAATTAAAGCCTTCAGTCTTACAAATGATCAAAGTGACTTACTGTCCCTCATTCTGTGGAATGTAAATTTTTATTGTACACCATTCAATTTCCACTTCTAAATAAAGGAAAGAATACAGAGATGAAAAGCCTTCCTAAAAAGCTCCATATAAAAACATGATAGTTGAATTTAGTGTGTGTACATGGTTTGAATGATTCGCAGGACAAGGAATACAGTAGGTAATGATCTTAAAATAACCCACTACTTTTCAAAATTTGATTTATCATTTAACCTGGAAAACAGAAGGTGAGACTAAATCACATATTTCAATATCAGTACTCAAAAGATGACATCCAACTGTTGTGAATTACTAAACTGATCCTAAATTCAATGAGGTTTACAAAATAATTAGCTTAATGGAAACTAGAAGTTCTTAGGCCCTACTTTAAGAAGCACCTGCATATTCTGAAAAACATGATGAATTTCAGTTGAACTGAAACCCGATTCCTTTAATCTCTGAAATTGTGCTTGCCCAATTCATTCTTCAAAGTTATATTCAACATCTGGTCAACAGTGTCACTGAACACAACAGTAACCTAAATTATTCTTTTTAATTTTATATTCTGTGGGGGTTTTTCATTGCTGCTATTTTTCCTTCACTTAGCTATAGCATATTAAGCTAATTCATGCTTTTGTCTTAGTTTTGGAAAAAATTATATGCCAACATCTAAGCAACAGATACCCCTCTATCTTAATTTAAAGTAACTATGAGGTTGCACACTACAATAGCAAATTTGTAATCAACTTAAAGATGATGCCTTAAAAGTACAATTAAACATGTCATAACAGAAGAAAACTCTGAGGACTACAAATAGGACCATGCTTGCTGGGGTTTTAAACAGTGGTAAGACTAAGAAAAATCGCCACCCAGTGCTGTAAATGGTAACTGCAATTTGTTTTTGTGTAAAATGAGTACCCTGGAGGATTACTTCAACTTCATTACTGAATGAATGAATATCCTTTACCTTCTTATGTGAATAGGAGCTGGTTACGTGGGAAAGGATGTTTTTCTACTAGGCTGTTTTTTTCCCTTATTCTTATTTAGCACATTTGACATTTTACAAAGTCTTTGTAAACCTCAACAGAGAAAAAGTGTTCCATCCCAAAGTGAGCTAATTGTATATGAACAGCCCAGATATTCCTATTATCAACAAAAGTGCCTAAGCTCTGCTTGACCCTGAATTTAGCAACTCAGCAACACCATCTAATAACTGTGGCCTAAGACCTATTTGTGTTAAGCAGAAAAGCTTACCTAGGGGAAAGGTATTCTCAAGTGGAAAAAAATAGATAATTTATTCTTCTAACAACATAATTTACTCTGACCTTATTAGAAACAGGTTATAAAGGCCACGTAAGATGATAATCTAAAAAATTCTGTAGATTACATATTGATAAGAAGTTGTTACCATAATATAATCATGTTTCTAAGTCTTTAGTTTGTTGCCTCATTTAGAAATTAATAGATAAACACACAAAGGCAATCATATACATTTATTTGCCTGCAATGTTATCTATTGCCACAAGGACAAAGAAAGTTATGTGAACACATGATAACCAAAATACACGTGTGTAAGTATGGGGCCATGTTAATAATAGCATTTCATACCTAGTATTTGTCCTACTTGACATTTTCCAAAATATTTTCCATAGTATGCTGAAACTACAGCAGATATAGTGTATGTCAGTATAGAACCATGTGATAAAAAGAGCAACTCAGCAGAACAAATCAGTTTTTTTAAAAGAAGACATTATCATTCTATTTTTAAAGATAATGAACTATATTCCTAATAATCCGTCCTGACTTTTATCAGTCAATTCAGTTAAGTCCTTCACTGTCAAAGGATTCCTTTTTTACTAACTAAACAATGTATACCGTCTTCCAATCTCAACCTCATTAAGGAGATTATGGATTTCTGCAATATTTTCATATACTTAAAGTATTAAATAGTAAAAATTGGGGGGTATCAAAATTTAAACCCAAACTTTATGAACAATAATATACCATCCTCCTTTATTAAAATAACAACAAAAAATCAGTACTTTCTCTTTTAAACAATAAAAAACACAATTTCTTTTTTTAATCTTAAAATGTCAATAATGTCTTAAAATTAAAAATGACATTTTTTAATGACATTTAAAAATGTGACATTTTAAAAAATGGATAGCTTAGTGTTCAGGAGGGCAGGAGGTAGGCTCTGAAGTCCTGGGCTAATTCCAGATCTGCTATGTGTTAGCTGGAGGAACTTGGAAAACCTAAGTCCTCACCTGTATACGGAGAGAGAATACCACCACTTCACTCCCTAAGCAATTTACACACATTAACTCATTGAATCCCCTCAGCGACCCTATGGGGTGGGTACTGTTATCATGTTCATTCTCTAGAGAAGCTAAATGACACCCAGGAGGTTACATAACTTGCCCAAAATAGTGAAGGGCGGCAGATACACCACCCAAAAAATGTGCCACTTTGGCATAAGGATAATTTTGAACTGAAAGCAAGAGATAAAACCCCCATGTGAAAGATGCCAGGAAGAAAGAGGCATTCTTATCACCGGAGATGGGGAGTCGAGGCCAAGAGAACTATACAGACAGAACTTGTTAAAATAACTCTGATCTTCCACTAGTCTCCCCACATATTTTAGTCACTTTCCCACAATTGCCTCTTTACTCAACCTGGCATATAAGCACTTGGGTTTTTACCACTTCTTTTGGTCTTCACTCTTCTATGAGGGCTGTCATGGACATGTAAACATCTGTGTGCTTTTCTCCTACTAATCTGTCTTATGTCTATTTAGTTCTCTAAACATATATCCTTTAAATAGCTATTAGATAACAAAAGGAATAATACTGATTTCTAACCATGAAACACAGGAAAAAGCAAGGTCTGCTGCCTATGTTAAGACGACAGAGGTGTTCTAAAATCAAGAATACAGAACAGAGTTTGGAAAAATCAGGCTTTGTGGAAGCATATTTCTGAGAGAGGAATTTATTGTGAAACTCCTGAGAAAGCAGAAACTTCACAGAAGACCAGAGACATCGCTGCAGTTTTTCTGTTAGTGAGGCTAATACATTATGATGTGAAAGGGAAGCAACATTGGCAGCTTTCAAGGAACGGAAACAAAATAGATCCAGAGACATAGAAGCATGGAACACACTGCTGAGTCTCAGAGGGAAGGTGGGGGTGGGTGGCTGAGTGGGAAGATATCAACCAAAGAACTTATATGCATCTATGCATAACCCATGGACACAGACAATATGGTGGTGAAGGCCTGGATTGGGGGAGAGGGCTATAAGGGATCAATGGAGGGAAAGGGGACATATGTAACACTTTCAACAATAAAGATTTTAATTTTTTTTTAAAAAAGGAACTTGGGGTTGACAGAGCCAGTTCTGACTGTGAAGCCAAGGCACTAATTCCTGACATGCTGAGAAAGGCCTGATAAGCAGTCGTGTCCACAGCACCCCACAGTACCCCAGCCAAAAGGCTCCTCAGAAAATTCACTGGCCCTGGTCAGACTGCGCCCCACTATTTTGCCTCCGGTGTAGGGGATCTGGTTAGAGAAAAAAACAACTCTGAGCTCCCCAACCACGGCCCCTGTCCTAGGTCACAGAAGCAGATTCAGGAAAACACACAGGCCTGCCAGAGCCTGACTGTGGAAGACGCAATATCTAAGGTAACATTTAGCTGGAGAAAATCTACTCTGATCTTCCAGAGATTCAGGCCAAGAACTGGAAGAGGGCCGGAGAGAGAAAACCTCCGTGTCCTGTCTGCATGGGACCGGATCCTACAGACAAAGGCTGAAGAGGCAGAGAGCCACCCACCATACCTGTGAATGTGTGGGGTCAAGGTATGGCGGGAGCCTGGCTGCCAGAGGGTCTAAGCTGAAAATTCAGGATCGCCCTTAACTCCTGCCGATGCCCGGGGGGACCCTACTCGGACTGGGCCAGGACGAAGGAAGAGGTTGGAAACCAGACTCTGGAAGGGAAGACATCTGAGGAACATCCCAGAGAGTAAACCCCCTATGAGTGCATGCAAATCATCTCAGAGAGGAGCCCGGATCTGGTGGGAGGAGGTCCAGGTGGGAGAGGATGGGAGCCACTGGGGGAAACTGGGTTCTGTCCTCACCAGAATCCACATCTCCTCCTCAGGGAAAGACACCATGACATGAAGGAAGGTTTGTGTGTCTTTTACAGAATTCCCCAGGGAAAAAGCATAGATACTGGTTGAAAGAAATATTTTCTAAAATCACTTAAATCCTAATAAATAGTAGTAATAATTTTACAATAGGAGATAAACTAGGCTTAAACATTTAGGAGACACTAACATTAGATTGAAAAGTGTATTGCATTCAGCAAATATTTCTATTTCAGATGCCTAATGTAACTTAAGATGCGAATTTAAAAAGCAAGGCTTGCTATTTATAAAACAACTTGAAATTATCAAGGATTCTTCATGAATTTTGGTTTTTCACAACTAAAGAGGTTGACTGGCATATCAGAGAGAGAAAAACGGGGTAATTTTATAAATTTGATTTTCAGGTCATGGCCAAAGCAATTTATAAGAAGAGTATGGCTTGATGACAATATTCTAAATGACTCATGAACTTTATAGATTTAATATAAATTAATTCTGGAATTACTGGGAAATAATTTTTAAAAATAAAGCCTATAATTTTCAAGTAATTTTTTTAAAAGGAAAAATAATCCATGTAATTGCGATTTCATCTCTTAACAGAAACTCACCTAAAAGGACAAACCCATCTGCTTCCGTGTCTGACGCCAAAGGCTTTTTCGGTTCCACAGGCTTCCTGAAGAAGTGAAACATCGCTGCGGCCAGGGTCTGAAACAGAAACACTATATAATGTCAAACTCAAACGAAACTGTAAAACTCCTACCCTTTCTAGCAGCAAGCCAAATATACAGATATCACAGTAACTACTTTTTAGGAATTCTATTACCAGGCTTAAAAGCACGAGCCCTCCTCTCCGGGTGTCAGAAGACAAAGCCAGAAATTAAGGTGCATGGACTTCCAGGGTCAAGTGAATCCTGTCAACTGCTCTCAATTTTTGAAAATGCAAGAAACAATCCAAGAAATCACTCCAGGAAAAAGGAAAATCAACAGATAGCACCACAACCTGGAAGGATCTTGCTGAACATAAACATCAATCATACACTGATTGAGGAAAGGAAAAACAGAACAAAACCAAAAGAACCTGTCATGATGTCACAACTAGCTTGAGGCTCATAGAACTGAGACCGCCTGAGAAAAAGAAGGCATGTCAGGCACCCTCTCCAGTTGGTGATCGGATTCAGACACTCAAGAGCTGTAGCCACTGGAAGGCTGAAGCCAACTTCAAATCCCCATCAGGGCAGATCTTTGTGTTGGTGAGATTATTGTGTGCTACACCCAAACCACACACACACACACACACACACACCCCTCCTCTTCAACCTCCCATCCCTGCACATTCAGAAAGGCCAACAATTCCTAGAAAACAAATGGGAAGGAAGTTTAAGGGACTTGCAAGGACACATCACACTCTAAGGACAGTCCCTATAAACAGAGCCGTGTAACAGACAAAGAAAGGAATAATCGTGGTGGCAGCAAATGCTCCACATTTTTGTTTCCATATTTTCCACCCAAACCAGAAGATCAAGCAGGGAGGGTTAGTAAAGATTTGATCTCAGCGAAAGCCTTCTAGAAACTGTGACTTGAACTGGGATTTGTGCAGGTCGACCCGCCCTGGGCTGCAGATCCAGATGGTAAGGGAGCCTATTTGCTGTTCGAAAACACATCTGGCAGATTTCACTTTTTAAAGGGGTGAAAAAAACAGAGAAGAAAAAAACACCAGCCATGGGAAAAAGAAAATGTTCCAGTTGAGGGAAGGAGCAGCCTCTGAAATCCTCAAAGATTTCTGCCTGGACAAAGTGATGGATCCAAAAGAAAAGCCTGTAAATAGTTTGGCACCCTCAACAGAGCACAGGGGACATGGCCTCTATGAAACTGGTAGAAAACAAGATTAGATGAAAAAGCAAAAGGAAAAGATAAGGAATGGGATAAAAAAAAATGACTGAGTAAGATCAGAGAAACCCACGCAAGAAAGAAATGATATCAAAAAATAATTGGTTGGTTTACATCAGGAATGCAAGAAAATTGAGTTCAAGTTCAGACTTAAAAGACCGGAAGAGGCAAGTAACTCCTCAACCCCAAACGGTTAAAAATAAAACGAAGAAGGCCTTTGAAGGAACAAAAGCTGATTAAAATTCAACCTCGGCTAAGGATGAAATCAAGGGTGCAGCCACCGGACATGAACACCCCTGTGCGGATTACTGCGGCCCTCAGTACATTCTTTCACTTAGGATACATGCATGGTTCAGGAAAAAGAGACAAGGGGTGGGTCTCCAACTGAAAGCCGGTGGAGAAAAAGATACCCTCAAATAAGTAAAGAAGGAGGAGGTACATGGAGGGGTAAATGAGAAAGATAGAAAAGCTAAGTTCTATCTAGCCAAAATTATAGGTCTGGCTATTGATACATGAAGCTGACTAGGATCAGAGAAGTGAGTGCCATGTTTGAGAGCTGTGATGCCAAAATAACCAGCCATCTGGAGGAAAAGAGGACCGCGACCCGACAGACAGAGGAAGCTGCCCCCAAAGAAGGCCTGTTCTCCCGGCCAACCTCAGGGTAGCCAAGAAGTTACCAGAAAGGGAAGAAAAAAAAGGGAGGAGCCAATAGCCATGGAGAACAACGGACTGAGGGGGGCGGGCTCCTCCAGGAAGCAGAATCTGGGCGTAATAAATAAACATTCTCCAACCCAAGGTGAGATCCCCCAAATGCCTGCTCAGTGGGATTTCAGAATTGCTACTGCTCTGGGACTGCTATCTACAGGGTATCCCTGCAAAATATAGACACACTTTAACAACTGATAGCTCAGTTTTGAAAATGAAATGTATTTTAATAAACATTGCCTTTATAATATTCAAAGTGTGTGCATACAATTTGGGGAGGTGTTTTTTTTTATTATTATTTCCCATCCCTCCCCTTTCTGAATGGGCGTTATCTTTCCCAGTTCCACAAGGTCGGAGGGGACACAAGGGACAGAACACTGGTCTTTTTAGTTCATGAAGTCTCCAGACCAAGAGGTGCCACATCTGGATCTGGTGAAGAAATACTGAACTTTGAGCACGATGCTATGACTGAATGGGGCAATTTGGGTTACGGACCTTGGGAAGGGGTGTCACTTTGCCTATGGCAGGGAGAGAGAGCTGAGTACATGGCGGCCACAAAGGAGAACCCCAGAATCATGAGGGCTGTTCACTGGCTCTTTGCCTTATTGAGACAGATCAGGACTGCAGTCGTCTGCCCTCCTGAAGTAGGTGTGGCCATGTCGCTTGCTTGGTTCACCTGTCACGTGCCATTAGATTGTTAGAACAAGGAGCTTTGTGGCCAGAGGAAGAGAGGCCCTTTAAAAATTTGTTCCTGTTCTAATGTATAAAGAAAAGTCTTTGAACAGAAAGGACTCAAATTCCCAATACCTTTTAATGCCTGGCCACAAAACAGACCTGGAACCAACACGGAAAACACTACATAGTTCTGGTATGTCATTCTCAAGCCCCCCCGCCCTCCAATTTTAGGTATGTTGTTAGGAAAGCCAGACCAAACTCAGCTGTAGTACCAGAATCTCCTTTTAATGCAAGTATATTGTACGGAATTTATAACTTAAGTAACTAAGTGAAGCATTGAAGTTTTTCATGACCTAAAACATAAAGCTGAAACCATCTACAGGCTGCAGCAGTTTGTTGAAAGTATGACTTACTGGCAATGCATAATGTTATATTCCATCCCTTTAGAGCATCATAAAATTCCAGACAAAGTTGGAGGAGGGATAATTTAGGCTCCAGGAGTCAAGAAATTTCCAGGCCTGGAGAAAACAGGTCAGGAATAAGAAAGGTAGCAGAGACAGTAACAATAACTCAGAATGCAGCAAGAACTGGTTTCCTACAAATAGCCATTGGAAATAGCTCTAAAATGGTTACAAAAATACCAGTCACCCTCACACCTAGTATCCTGCCAACCTGACCATCATCTTAACTCCTTCCTCTACAAGGTTTTCCCTGGAAACATGGTCAATTTTCCACTACAAGTCTCAAGATTCCCTTATATGATCAATTCTGCTGCTGACATTAATGATAGGAACCTCAACGCAGTCTACAGAAATTGCTCCATGCATGAAAAGACTATGTCTGAGACCCTAAAATCTATAATCAAAGTATCTTTATGCCTTGACATTTTTTTCATGTCACTGAAAAACACATACAGTGTAAGAAACATTTATCCTGGGAGGGCTGGCAATGACCATGCTAAGATCTCCCGCCTGGGAGCTCATTCTCACAGGGGGAAAGCGCATGGGTAGGTCCCCACTCCAGCAGCCAGATTTTGTTACCTTGCCAAAGGCTAGAGAGTGGGACGGAAAAGGGGAGTAACTGCAAACCCCACTATCTGTCAAAATGCTCTGCACACTCTGTGTTATGTAAGATCTCTATAATTCTTCACCAAGCTTAAGAATTGAAGTAGGTGACATACTGGCCCAAGTTCAAGTGGTTAGGAAATAGCAGTGCTAGAATTTTACACCAAATCCCTCTGGCACCCAAACTGGATGCTTTTCATCAATAAAGCACCAGAGAGAAGGAGCCTCTCACCCTTAGGACATTTGTGTTACATTTTAATACATTTCCCAATATTAGTCAAAAACACTGGGTTAACTTCATGTTTTGTCTCTATTAATCCCTACCCTCCCAGCCTTGCTCAGCTCTATGTTCTGAAGACCTTTATGACTTCCTCAACACCTGTGTTCAAGACCTTCACCTACTTTTTATTTTAGAAACATCCATTAAGTGTTTAGGCCAGATACTGACAGAGCACTGCAAATGCAGCACTCGACTTATATTTAGGGTAGACAAACTGCAACCCCCGCCTCCCACATCTGCGGCACCCCTCGGCACCCCTCGGCAAAAGGCAGAGGCACTTTGGAGCCTCATCCCCAAGTGGAGGAGGCCTGTAACAGTCTTGCTGCCCCAGGCCTAGTGTATGGTAAGCCCCAGCCCGCATTGCTCTGATGCATGTGACCTTGACATTTGGGCTTCTTTTGCTTGGAGTTCTCAAGCATGTTCTCGTCTTGTTTCCTTGCTTATGATTATCAGTATTTTTAAAATTGTCTACAGTGAGAAAAGTCTACATTTAGAAACAGAAAAAATTACCAAAATTTATTCTGAAAAATACATTATCATCTAGCAGCAGCATTCTTGCCTGGCTGAGCTAGGAGCCGATTTAGAATAATACCTCCTAATTTTCAAACATGAGAATCCTGAAGCTGCCTGGCATGGGAGATAAAGAATACACATGCCCAAGCCACAGACAGATTTGCAAGTCCCAAATCTGATATAGGATGTGTGTGTATAAATACGTAAAGATGTGTGTATATGAAAACATAAAGAACTGTTAAAACTCACTAATGAGAAAACAAATTAATAAAGACTGGGCAGAAGACATGAACAGACATTTCACCAAAGAAGACATGTGAGTGGCAAAAAAAAAAAAAAAACCACATGAAAGAATGCTCAACATCATCAGTCAAAAGGCAAAGGCAATGAGATACCATTACACACCCATAAAATATTTAAAATTGAAATGGCTTGCCATGCCCAGTGTTGGCAAAAATGTGGAGCAACTGGAACTCTTGTGCACTGTGGTAGGTGTGTGATATAGTACAATTACTCTGAACAACAGTTTAGTAGTTTCTTAAAAACATAAACATACACCTACCATATGACCCAGACCTTCT